CCAATAATTGGGTTGGTCTGGGGACTATTCTCCAAGCTGGTGCACAAAACATGCTGCATTGTCTGAGGGAGGAAACAAATGAGAGAGTAAACTCATTACTGCAAGACCGCCTTATGTATTTGCAATTTTGGAAAAGTATAAAAGAATACGAGATAAAGAAAGATGTATTCATGGAGCAACTTCAAGCCTTTGCTAAAGACCTGTCTCTTCATGGGAAGACATTGGTTTTGAAGGACTCACCGCTAGTAACTTCAAAGAGTGTAATGGCACAACTCGATCATCATGATCAGCAGTCAATAGCATTGTGGATGGATACTGTGATGCTTTAATAGGGTGTTCCCATGGTCTCCTTACATTATGCAGTGGTGAATACCTAAAGAGAGCATGGGGTTAAATGTTTGTTGAAGGCACAAATCTCATTGCGATACATAAGCTTTCAATTTAGGACCAGACTAGTTGAAAAATGAACCCAAGTATCTTTGTCTCCTAACAACAGCTGCATAATTTAAGACATGAAATTTTCATCTGAAAATAAGAATTTGCTTTTCAATTATAAAAGAATTACTTGCAGAACATGCTCATAAAATAAGCTTCAATTTTATATATACATACATATACAAACTAAAGAGTTTGTGGGTTTCAGACACTGGGCGCTTAAATGATGATACCTAAGCCTAAAATCTGTCAAAGTTTATTTTTTATGATAAAATAAATTCTTGGAAGTTTGATTATGTTTTAGCTATATTTATCTCTATATTGGTAGGACGCCATCTCTAACAAACAGATAGTACAAAGGTATGCTGAAAACAACAGGTATGCTTGGGTTAAGGGAGATGGAGGGATGGAAAATGGAAAACCTTGTTTTATTTGGATAAAAAAGAGAAACTGGAGGAGATGGGAGGGATTCTAACTTCTATCCAATTCCTTATAAATTAAATTATTATTTCCTTTGTTCACTTTAAGGTATCTAGATAAGTGCATGTGTTCCCTTCATCTCCCCCTCCCCCACACCCTTCCTCCCCTCCCATTTCCTCCATTGCCCTCAACCCAAGTATACCTTAAAGAAAAATATTGACTAGAAGTTCTCATACAATATTAGTTTACTTACTGGATTTGCCAACGGAATTCTTTTTCATTTTCCGAACAACCATACTCAGACGTCCATGCATGGCCTTGAAATCAAAATCTTAATCAATACAAAATCCTGATATTACAATTATGTGGTAAAACGTTGCAAATGAACGAACCTATGGTAAACTTGTGAAAACGAAGCATGTCCATCACACCAACATGAGCCAAAGCACAACCAAAAAGATCAGGTCTCTGCCAACCAAGTTTAAATCTGACCTCAGTTCAGTCATAATAAAAGGTGGCCAGAAAAGAAACAAGTTGCAAATGATCAATCACCTGATTTATACAAGCTCCAATTAAAAGCCCACCATTGCTCCCACCTTCAATACACAACCTGCTTGGTTGGGTATAGCCAGCTGCTATGAGATATTCTGCAGCAGAAATGAAATCATCAAATCCATTTTGCTTCTTGGAAAGTGAACCTGCTTTATGCCATTCTTGTCCATACTCTCCCCCACCACGAATGTTTGCAATACAGAAAAAGGCTCCTAAATGCCTAGCTAGTACAATGCGAGAGACACTGAATGATGGTGTGCTGCTGATGCTAAATCCACCATATCCATATAATGAACAAGGCTGTGATCCATCCAAATCCACATTCCTTCTGCCCACAATGAACATTGGGATTTTGGTACCATCCTTACTGGGGACAAAAACCTGGTTTTTGGAAACAGAAAAATGATGAATGCGCTGCAACCTGATCAAAAGCCTGATGTCATCAAAATCTGAAAAAAGCAGCAGTAATATACCTGATTGACATCAAATTGTGTGCGATCATATCCAGGTACAGAAATTTCACTGAATATCTTCATATCTGGAACCCCAGCTCCTAAGTTGCACTGATATATAATACCAGGAGTAAGGAAGCTTGAAAAATGAATAAAAAACATATCATCTTTACGCCTAGCAGTAATATCATAAACTGTCCCAATGTCAAGTGGTAACTGATGCAGAAATGAACCTGTTTCTAAATCCCTTATCTGAAGCACATACTTCACATCGCTTAGATAACTCACAATCATCTTATTACCATTAACAGCATCTGCTGATTCAAGAACATCTTTTTCAGACGCTGGGATAATGTCTATCCAATTACTTGGTTCCTTTAGATCAACACGGACTAATTTGTATCTTGGAGCACCTTTATTAGTCCGGAAAGTAAATAATGTGTCATCATTTGCAATTGCTGTATACAGTGCATCAAATTGATCTATCAGCTTAACAAATGGGAGCAGCAAATCTTTTCCCCTAAAACCTTGAAGACCTTCAGGAAGTGCAGACATGTCGCAGTAGTATACTTTGTTAACTGGGTCACAACTCTCCAAGATATACAAGAGAAGGTACTGTGCAGAGACATAAAATGTTAGATTAATTAAATCCAATTTTAGGGAAAAAAAGGAATTCTGCAAAAATTAATCAACATTCTGGGACATGATATATCAATATAGCCAACATATACAAAAAAGTGACTTGTGCAATGCAATTAAAGAACAACCATCTTTGGAAAATTAAAATTTCAAAAAATCCGTTATAAATTATAAAGCATTGAAATCATTAAATTTCCAAATTAAACAAGAAAAACCATCATGAAATCACCTTATGTGCATTGCTCTATATCTATGCTGTAATACACAATGATGCCCCCATAGCCCATACTACTGAGTACCAATAAATGGAGAATAAATACTAACAAAAATGCCATTAAATTGTACTTTAAAACATATAGATAAATTCATAAATATAAACTAACCTTCCCGT